ATAAAAAACTAGTTTCGTCATTTCGGTTTCGTCAATTTCGTCATATTAAGAAAGGTAATTTCGTCAGGTATCACTAGTGTTTATATAATACATATACATAAAAATAAAAAATAAAGAAAAAATGCGTAATCGAAAGAAAATCCTACTTTATTACAAAAAAACATTAGCACTAAGAAATTTTTGTGTGAAATTTTTATAAAAGAGAAAATTGATGGGATCGTTAAATAATTTTTTATTAACCAATAAAAATCGATTAAAGTTATATCACGTGATGGGGTCGCTGTAGAGACAGGCTAATACCCTTATATTAATATTAATTTGATATACCGACTGTAGCGTTTACGACCGTCTAAACCGAGCGCGTTTGTAAAAAAACTGTTCTTTCTATTTTTGGTTAATTTTTTGACGATCGATGTTTTTATCAGATATCAATAACAAAATAACAAATAAATTTTATTTTTTGGATTTCTCTCTTATTTTTTTTTATTCCTATGAATTCTAACTTAATGAGACGACCTGTGATAAACATTATTTTACCAAATACTCCAGAAGAGAAAGAATGTTTTACACAGACATTTCGCCGTATTTGTAGCTATTTGACACATAGGGATCTTTCAGCATTGAGTTGTGTCTGTAAAGCTTTTTATGAAGTCCTTACAACCTTTGAGAATGAAATTTGGCGAATCTCAAGGATCAAATTTAATTTGGCAAAAGGTCTTCCACCACCAAAAGATTTACTTGAGCGAGAATATGCAAAATTGTTTAATTATTCTAAAGGATGTCAAAACTGTAAATCTAATAAGCAGCTGCGAATATATTGGCTTCCTCGGATAAGATCATGTCCAGACTGTATTAAGTCAAATGCGGTCAGGTGAGCATGGTATTCCCTTTATATGACATATGTGTCATATGTATAATATTTTGTTAAACCCATTTTTTTTTCCTTATATAAAATAACAAGCTATAGAGAATTCGCGGATTTAAATTGGTGGGGATTACCAGAATGTGTATTTAATGTTGCACCGATCATCTCCTATGAATTTGATTTCAAGGATGGCATTGATTATTATTGGCTTCCTCAAGTTTATTCTTTAGCCCAAGAATATAGAAATCTGAATCTCAGTACACAGGGTGAAGATGCTCTAAATAATTGGTTATCTACAAAGAGAAAACAAACATCTGACCGTTTAGAAGATGCATTTTTTCGGCATAATCAATTAATGAACACAGAATTCTCAATTCTTTTTCGAACTTCATTTGAACCGGGGGAATGGATTAAAATGATTGAATCGAGAAGAAATGATAGCTCCAGGCAACGAATTGGTATTAATGAAGCAACAATATCGTCCGATGATCAAAATAAAGTCGATAAGGCTGTAGTTCCTGTTTCTGCGCGGAGGGTTTCTTTTGGTGGAACTTTCTTATGTATATCTAATAAAAATGCCAGAATACGAAATAAAAGGGAAGAAAAAAGATTAAGGCGAATGGAAAGAAAAGCAAGGCTAGTTCAAGAGATAGTAGAGCGCGAAACATCCCAAAACACTAACGGGGAAACCCGCGAATTAAGTAGAGACAAGAGAACAAAGTATAATTTAAGGCGATATATAATTAGACCAACAAAACCGATTTCATTCGATGATATTTCATCTAATGGAAAATGGGTTCATAACAAACCAAATCTTACAAAACCGATTTCACTCGATGATGTTTCATATAATCGAAAAATGGTTCATAACAAACCAAATCTTACAAAACCGATTTCACTTGATGATGTTTCATCTAATGGAAAAATGGTTCATAACGACTCAAATCTTACAAAACCGATTTCACTCGATGATGTTTCATCTAATGAAAAAATGACTCATAACGACTCAAATATTACAAAACCGATTTCATCCGATGATATTTCATCTAATGAAAAAATGGCTCATAGCAATTCAAATCTTACAGAACCAAAAATTAGTTTATCATCCTTCTTTCAAGGAAATTTCTTTCCATGTTAAGATTATAGTTTGACGGAATTGTCCAGGACTCATCATAGTAGAAAACTGTCGGTAACTCTTGAACTGGTTAGGTTAAAACAAACTCGTACGATTGCGGCGGTAAATCATAATATCATGTAATACCCACTGGTGAACCTCTTTATTCACATTGTAACAAGCAAATAAAATAAATATATTACATATTGCTTAAATTGAATTGGTTTATTATATAAATTTATAACGGAAAAAAAAAAATCGAACAAGTCTATTTAGTATAAGGGAATATCATTGTATAACCACGAAATGCACACAATACAATGATTTTATTGTGTACATGACATGATAGAAATGCCTACTTTGTGATTTTCATTTTTGGAAATTCTGATGAAACCATAAATGGTAATAATAGCGTAGGCATTGACAATTGTTTAACTGTCATTATCACCTACAGACTCTCCCACAATGTAAACAATAAAGAAAATATTTACTTTGTAGCAACCTAAAGATGGGAATTCGGGCTACCAGAAAGCAATTTTATATATTGTTTACCTTGTTGAAAGGAGATTTTCTTCCCAAAGGATTTGAGTTGACGGCATCTCTAAAAGGAGTGTGGGAGAGATTAATATCTAAATTGAAGTTCTTAAATTCAATCAAGAATGTTATTAACATACACACCTCTTTCAATACGATTCCATTTGAATTATTGAAAAATCTTTAAATCTAATATCCACAATATGTGGAAAAAGCCCATATTCACATGTCCCTTAATTTATGCGAGAACTTTACATAATCTGTAATGAACTCGGATTTACGAACTAAATCCCAAGCTTTCATGGCACTTCTAAACCTATAAAATAAAGAGGAATTATTTTTCTTTAAATCGATTTTTAAGACAATAAGAGACAAGATGATTTTACCATTCTTTTTCGGAAACTTGTCCCTTTTTGCCACTTTTTTTTGGCAATTCAAATATTTGGTTTCTCATTGATTCTGCCAAAACTAAAAACGTATCTGGTACATTCAAATGGTTAGAAGCAATCCCTTTTCCTTTGATGTTAATAGGCTGATTCTCGAAAGGTAAAAGAAATAAATTTGGCATTGGATGATCATCGGAACGTTTATATGTAGTCAAAGTTTTGGCCAAAGAGACCGTACCTATTATTAAAAATATTAGAAATGGATGAACTGTTAAATTCTCAAAAATATTACAATGTAACTGTCAAATTACCAAAAATTTTTAAATTAGATTCTTGAAACATTTTAATCAACATATCACACATGAGATCGTATTTGACAGTAGTATACTCTAAAGGCGAAGTTTTATTGCACACTAAAACTGATAAATAAAAATGGTTAATAAATTAATTAAGAATAAAAGTTCATGAGGATACATATCTTACCGATATCAGGATAATATTCGATTCCATTGTCAATCGAAGCCAATGATGGTACTGTTGGAAATTCGGGAATCCTATATTTCAACATTTCAGCTTTCTTCAAAAAATTCCATGTAGTATAATCAATGCTTTCAGTAACAACTATAACAACATTACAAACAGAAAATAGAAATACGGCAAGTTGGAGAGACTAAAGAGGTAAATGATAATTAATATAATATATTTATTTACATAAAAAAAATTTTCTAGAAGTTGGTTTACCGCTAACCTGTAATTCAAGCCAAACCTCAGGTGTCATATTCTCAGGAATATAATCGTTTCTAATCGCGTGTTCCAAAACCGAAAGACTAGAAATTGGCTACGTAAAATAAAAGAAAAACAATTATATATGTAATAATAAAATTAATGTTTAATTAAAATATATATATATTGATATAAATACCTGAGTATCTAAGAGAACAATTTTTTCAGGTGTAACATGAATATCGATTCCAATTGTTTCGTGACTTGCAAGGTTCAAGGCATCTATCGATTGACTCGAAAATGCCTGATATTATTATGTAATTCATCGATGAATTAAATAAAAGCTCAAAAAATACTAAAGAGATGATGCTGAATTATTATGTGCTAACTTTACATTCTGCGGTTCTTGACATAAGGTAGAGATAACGGTAGATTTTCCCGATCCTTGTGGTCCAAATACACCTACAACGAAATGACCAGGAAGATCGCTAAAGATCTACATTATCATGTCAATGTCAATTTCAAGTTAATGTGTATTTATAATAGCGGAATAAACTGCATTCGAAAATTACGCTTACATACTTTTAGCAACCAACCTTTAAGACGGATTCATTATTAAACATTCCCTTTTCATTAACCATTTTAACGAACGGTTTTTCAAGTGATTTTCCTCGTGTGTTAATGGATTTGATTTCTGCACGTGGAGCATTAACTGGGGTAACTCGACTAAATGTTTCTTCTTGAACTGGTGTGGAGCTGGAAAAACGAGAAGTTTGAGCAGAAGTTTCTGATGCTTTTTTTGTCAATATGGAAGGTTGAGTAGGACTGGTAGCTTGAGATCTACGTTCCAAAATAACAGGTGCTTGATAAAAGGATTTGGGAAGGTGGTCAGGTGTTGGAGTCGTCAGAGACCCTGAGGGAGATTCCTAACATGCACGTTTAGTGTCTAAAAAGCAAATTTATAGCGAAAATCAAACCAGAAAACGCTAAAAGAAGGATTTCACTTAATACCTTTATTTTCCTTTCGCGTCTCCGACCTCCCCCTTCTCCACGTATACGTTCTCCTCTTCCACCACCTTCTCTACGACCTCCTTTAGGGTGACCGTTACTACCGGTATCACGAGCACCTCTCCCGGATCTTCCATCTTCATTGCGTTCTTCTGAATCACGGTTGTTATCTCCCTTCGCCATAAAAATAATAAAAATTTTAAACGTTGTTAAATGCAAAAATTCGACAATTCAAGAATAGAAAATTGTAATTTTATACAGAAATATCGTCGATCGTATATATATATCACGTGAGCAAATGGAAAATTACTTAATCGTCTTATCAATCGTTCAATGATAATCATAATCCATTATTCTCTCTCTTTCTAATTTTATTTTATTTTTATTTTTATTTTTTACTATGTCGGTACGTTTCAGCTAACGACTTTACAATTTTCAGTTAAATTATTTATATTTGAAAAAAACCTTTTTTTTTAGCACTTTGATGTAGATGAGTATAGCCTCCATACAAGCCCTGTTGTGGGGTATCGTATTCACTTTTTTTTTTTTTTTTTTCGCTTTTCCTCTTAAATTGCTTTAATGGAAACTTTTACTCAGCAATGAAGAAGATCCTGTTCAAGACCATAGACCGCGATTATTGATTATGGGCCTAAGGAGGTGGGTAAGAAAATAACTTTCTTTTTGAATGACGTTCAACATGATATCTTATTAACAATTTAAAATACGTCTTTGTAGAAGCGGCAAGTCCAGTATCCAAAAGGTCGTATTTCATAAGATGCCTCCTAATGAAACTTTATTCCTTGAAAGTACTAACAAAGTTATTAAAGAAAATATAACGTAACTATTTTTTATTTAATGAAAAAATTTGGGGTATTATATATATATAACTTTATTTATTTTTATGTCCATTTAGTTCATTTATCGATTTTCAAGTTTGGGACTTTCCAGGACAAATTGATTATTTTGATCCAGCTTTTGATTCAAATGTTATTTTTGGAGAATACGGAGCATTAATTTTTGTAATTGATGCGCAAGTAAGTTCAAGAGTCCATTTGATTATAAATTATCAGCAATTGTAATTACTTGATCTCATCCGTGATAATAGTGAATTTTCTTTCGAATTTTAGGATGATTACATTGAAGCCCTTAGTAGGTTGCATCAAACCGTCACACGTGCTTTTCAAGTCAATCCTGATCTTACATTTGAGGTGTTTATACATAAAGTTGATGCCTTATCCGATGAGTACAAAATTGACACACAACGTGACATTCAGCAACGAACTACAGATGATTTAGTGGACGTTGGATTAGAAAACGTTCCTCTGAGTTTCTATTTAACAAGTATTTACGATCATTCAATCTTTGAAGCTTTCAGTAAAGTGATTCAAAAACTTGTGCCTCAACTTCCGACTTTGGAAAACTTATTGAATATCTTGTGTTCGGTAAATGTCGTGAAAAATCTCAAATATTTATTTATCAAATAACTTAATAGTTTTTCATTATAGAATTCTGGAATAGAAAAGGCATTTTTATTTGATGTCAATTCGAAAATTTACATTGCTACAGACAGTTCTCCCGTTGATATGCAGACTTATGAAATTTGCAGTGATATGATTGACGTTATTATTGACATTTCGGAAATATATGGGTACATTATTATTTTTAAGAATGATATTAAATTTAATGATTTTGAATTGTAACTCACTTTATTGTTGAATCTTTTTTTAAAGTCGAAAAAATTCATTTCATTATATCGATGAAATCTACGGAGATGATCAAACCCAGGTAGAAACCAATGGAAATGCAGGAAATTATGGTACAACTACCGACACTGCTAATGATGCATCATCATTAATCAAGCTAAATAATGGAATGGTATTATGTCTCAGGGGAGTAAACAGGTATATGTCATATCTAATTCTTCTTAATTAATTTATTAATCGAAACTAATACGTATTCATTTTAAAGATTTCTTGCGTTAGTTTGTCTCCTTCGATCTGATAATTTCGAAAAACATGGTTTAATAAATTATAATTTTGGATGCTTTAAACAAGCAATAGCAGAAGTATTCGAATTAAAACGTCATAGTGCTTCCGAAAGGTTAAGACGAGAAAGGATGAGACTTTCGGAAAATGAAGATAATGTTGGAGGATAATTTTTTTTTTTAGTAAGTAAATTAAATAGAATTATTTATTTAATAATAATAAAAATAGCCGTGCTTAATATTAGAAAGAAATGTTGGTTTAGTTGAATTGAATTAGTTTCAATGAAATTTTTTTTTTTTTTAAAGGAGTTGGGAAAGAATTTCAAAAAAAAATTGTTCATTGTTTAGATTTATTCCATATTACTAATACTTCAAGAATTTTTATTGGT